TCCCATGAATGCTTTTGATTAAATATGATTGATATCCAGTGCATAGTTCTACAGAAGAAGTCGTTTATAGCAATCTAGCCAAATTGCCCCCTTTTTGGCCCCGCCCCTCAGCCCCCTGGGGGGTCAGCCCAACCATTTGTACAATTTTGAATCTCCACCACCTAGGGATGCTTCCAGGCAAATATGGTTGATATCCATCTCTTAGTTCCAGAGAAGAAGTCGCTTAAAGCAATATAGCCAAATTGCCCCCTTTTTGCCCCGCCCCTCAGCCCCCTGGGGGGTCAGCCCCACCATTTGTACAATTTTGATTCCCCACCACCTAAGGATGCTTCCAGTCAAATTTAGTCAAATTCCAATCAGTGGTTAAGAAGAAGAAGCTCACCTTGGTCCTTTGGACCAGGTGAGCTAATAAAGGTGAACTACATATATAACCACAGCTATTTCAGACCTGTAGTTACACGGATGATCCCTGTGCCGTTTATAATAAAAAAAATAATGAAAGATATTTCTTGTTTATTGTTTATACTCTGACAATATAATCACTTGATAAATTATTACACCTGGAGCAGAAGACGGCGTGTTTAGGTCTTTAACTCAAATTGTTATTTTGGAATCCCGTCCCTCTGCCCTATAGGTTGCGGCGCACTGCATGAACACAATTCTTTCGTACAAAATGTGTATATATAGGAATTGTCTAAAAGAATAGACCGTAACTCCAAATGTTAACAAACGGAGAATGAGTATTGCCTTGCATAGGTTAAGAAGATAATGTGAAAACGTGACAATCCAGAACGTGTACTGCTGTGCTATGTTTACAATGCTCTGTCGTCACGTGTTGAGACGATAAACGTGAGCGTAGGAAACGTGTTACTCTGGCAGACGCACTATATGCGAGTTGACCTCCATGCGGCACTCACCGGGTCATTGCACACGGTTGCATAGTCGGTAAGTGGGTCACAACAACGAAATGAATTTTGTTGAGGTCAAGTTTAAAGGGGCATCACGCTGAAGTAACTTTTTTTTTGTCTTTTTTCCAAATACTACATAAACATATCAAGTGAGACTCCTTATGGAAAATGCCGATCGGATTTGGCTGAAATAGATTCATAAAAATGATTAAATCTAAGATAATCATCGGTATTTCTACCTGTCTGACCAACGTTTTGTTCAGGGATTTCCCTCTACTAGCGCATGCGCATAGCACACCA